GTATGGAAGAGATTCGGGTTTGTTATTGTTATGCTACAAATTTGTGCGTGGTAGATAGTTCTAATATGATTAACTAACTCTGTTATATTTATTTAATATTGCTTTCCAGCTTGTTCATAATAAAAGTGTATTTACATGCTCGCTTTTAAAGATTTTTGTATACTAGGTATATAGCTATGAGCAATTTTCTTTTGTGTAATATGATTCAACGTATCCATTAACAATATAATACATACATCTACAACTTCGAGACTTACCATTAACAGGCGAAAATATATTGAGGTATAGGCAATCTTCGGATTGATTTTCTAAAAATGGCAGCAGCCTTTTCAGGTATTCCAAGCGTCCCTTAGGCATCTTCTCCAAGGCGGCGGTCTCATTTTGTATATTGGGCAACCGTTGCGGGCAAACCGGACTGTATTTATCAGAGATACGTATTCCGTCCCACGGTGCTGGAGCACGAGTTGGACTAAAGCTACAGTGCATATCGAGAGAGTTGAGAGATGTGGCTATAGATCTATCAAATTCCATTTACTCTTTGGGGTACGTACCGGTTTTGTTTGATCGGAGGCGTGGCATAAGGCACGCCCAGGAACACTTCAACTGATCGTAAATAGCGAAAGTTATCCAACGGTAGAATCATTCCATGTAAGCGCCCATATCGGGTCTGCACGATCCGATGTCCCGGTCGCGCTCCGTTGTAAACATCGTGCGTGGAGGCTGTAGCAAGATCAAACCAGCCAATTGATGCAACCGATAACAGCAGCATAAGGCGCAGCATGCGCAGCTGCAGCATTGACCGGGTGCAATTCCACATGATCTGCGCGTCTTGATTCTCCTTAACAAACTTGAATATCGTGAAATTGTGTTGTCAATCTTTTCGTGTGAATTACACTATCTATAGTCGACTGCTTGACAGGCGTGGCCTTGATTGTCTGATTTCAAGTGCATAGTATTCATTTTTTTAAATCCTTCTCGGAACTGAAATAGAAAACTAGTTCATTAAATACACTTGCTTTCAATATAATCTATATATAAACTATAATCTATATATTAAGAGCGACTAGAAACTTTTGCTGATTAGCATGGCACTAAGGCCGAATTGACTCTTATCGGATGTCGGTTTTTGGTGAACATTTCTCCCGCCATAAGCTATAATGCCCATGCATAGATTAGTCGAGCTCGCGCAGTTTTGCAAGTAATTTGAAATTGCTAAGATGTTCGCCCGCATACTTGTTTTATTTCCCTTGATTAAACTGGCATTTGGCTGTCCGTTATCCGCACTAAAAACCTGTGTGGAACCAATACATAAGGGCCTACGATTTGACGGCA